TATGAAGTGGTGTATAGGTAGGGATAAGTTAGTAAGCAAGTCCAGAACGTGGTTGTAGTAAAAAATCTCAAGTTTTGTCTGTCAGATTTCAAATTAAATAACCTTTCTTTTCTTTTTTTGGGAAAAAAGTTTAGGGTCGGCCCTAATAATCTAGGGACGGTAGGTCGACCGGAAACACACCTATTTTTTTGTTTGGCCTCACGGATGATGAAGTTACGCGGTAGGCGATCGGGGGTGCAGATGTACAACCACGTAGCTAAATCTCGCGGTTACAGATGCAGACACGTGACCACGACTCTAGTCACACGTCATGGATGCAGACACGTGGTGACATCTCTGGTCACGTGACGGATGTAACCACGTGGTGACATCTCTGGTCACGTCACAGATATAGACACGTGACCACAACTAATATCACGTCAAACATGATACCACGTCACAGATAATACCTCGTGGTTACGTCTGTGATGACGTCAAATATGAAACCACGTGACTCCAATCATATCACAGCTGAATTACTATTTCGGCCTCTTATAGCCAATAGAAACGCGCCCTCTAGCGTCACAGCTACAAACAAGTAGGCGGAGTGCTGGTCCATTGAGAACCGACAGGGCGCGTAGTAAGTGAGACACGCCTGCCCTTCCGTTACAATGCCGTGTAGTTATTACCTCCGCCAAGGGGTTGGGCAGGAGGTCATGTTTTCACCGGCGTGTTTGTTCGGCGAGTGTTTGTTGGTTTGTGGGTTTGTGTACAGCCTAACTGAAAAAGTTATGGACGGATTGTCATACAATCTTCAGGATAGGTCAGAAATCGCCTAACTTAGAATTGATAAGATTTTGGCGGTGATCCGGATCCAATTAACTAATTAATAAAATTTTCAGGATAAGTCACAAATGGGGTAACTTAGAATTGATTACATTTTGGTGGTGATCCGGATCCAATTAATTAATTAATAAAATTTTCAGGATAGGTCAGAAATGGGGTAACTTAGAATTGATTACATTTTGGTGGTGATCCGGATCCAATTAATTAATTAATAAAATTTTCAGGATAGGTCAGAAATGGGGTAACTTAGAATTGATTACATTTTGGTGGTGATCCGGATCCAATTAATTAATTAAATTTTCAGGATAGGTCAGAAATGGGCTAACTTAGAATTCATTACATTTTCGTGGTGATCCGGATCCAATTAATTATTTAATTAATAAATAAATAAATAAAATTTTTCACAGTGAGAGAATTCAGCTGCCTTGGCGGAGGTCTGCGCTCTCTGAGTGCTCTAGTTGTCCATGTTTTATATCTATCGTCAGCGCCGTATAATATTACATCGGTATGCTAATGCGATCACGTTAGCGATGCTTCAACCTCGCCTAATTAATATTCATAATTACCTTACTACGACGCTTGTGACGTAATATGGTAATAGAATACGACGAGTATCAATTCGCCTCGAGTGTAGGCAATGCTACTGAATGGCTGTTTCCTGTCGTTGCCTCGCTACCATTTTTACATTCCCGTCAGAGCTTTAAAGAAGGATGGGAAGGCATTGCCTATTCACCAGCAGTGAGCGACCTAGCCCGCCCTTGAAATAACATTGGTCTTCTTTCAAGGCTAAGCTAACACGGGTACCTAATAGGTTCGTACGAGCGCGTACATTTGTAGACAGCACTCGATGATTGGCAACTCTTACGACTTGAACCTGATCTTTACATAATACTCTCGACATGTCCTTAGCAAAAGCTGCTATTAGTCGTTCGAAATTTCGCCGGACTTTTCCTGCTTGCAGCCGATCGCTCGTGTTTCGCGAAAAATTCTTGTTTCACCACTCGATTTTTTCCCCGCCACCGCCGCCGACTTGGCTCGGTGACGTTGAAAGCAAAGCAGCTCGCAATCGAAACGCCTTTCGATGACAGAAAAGAGCACTTCGACACGCGCGCACAGCCTATACGCAGAAACAATATAACGAAGGCTTATAATTTCGAAGTGCTATTCTTTCGCAACGACGGATCCGGCTTCACGATAACAATCAGTTTCTAGTTTGTATTGTTGCCGTTGCTAGGGATGCGCGTGACGCAATGCGACGAGCCGCTATCGTGCGGTATGACGTCATCGGTATGCAAACAGATGGCGGCACGAGGCGGCGAAGGGCTTCGCGTGATAACGATGTGAAACTGCAGCGCACTGATAATAGAATAGTCACGACAGGCGTCACCGACGACCATGCTTGCGACGATCGGTACAAGTATTTACGTAACCCGAGTTATCGTAACGCGGGGGGGGGGATTACAACAAGTAACTGCACAGGTGACTTCTTACAATGTAGACATAGGCATCCCGACAAAAGGAAGCACGCACGCCCGCACACCCACACACACATGCACACACACAAACGCACCCACGCGCGCAAACGTACACGCGCATTATCTACCCGACCACGTAGATAATTACGTAAAATAAAGAATGAGAAAAATTGTGCGTAGCATTACGCCCATCATTTCATTGTGTGTGTTGTGTGTGTGTGGGTGTGTGTGTTGTGTGTGTGCGTGCGGCGTGCTGTTGCGTGCGTGCGTGCGTGCGTGCATGCATGCGTGCGTCCGTCCGTCCGTCCGCCCGTGCGTGCGTGCGTGCGTGTGTGCGTATGATGTAAATTGTTCATAAGTATTGTCCGACGCACCGCATGACCACGGAATGCGAGCGCGCCCGCTGAGCATGCGGCACAACAGACGACGTGTGAGTATTTCACTAGGCGTGAGCGTGCGACAGTAGAAGAACAAGCACACAGCACGGTGTCAGGATACAAGGTGTGTATACATACAGTAAGGTGTCAGGATACAAGGTGTGTATACATACATACAGCAAGGTGTCAGGATACAAGATACAGAAAAGTGTCCGGATTCAGGATACGCGGTTTTAATGAACAACGAGGTAACTTCATTTTTTATGGTAACCGGAACACGACGGTTGCGTTGTCACTGCCTAGCTCACTTTCACTCCACTATCACACAAGCACGCACATACACATGCGCGCACGCACACACACGCACGCACGCGCCTACACACGCACACACACACATACATACGCACGCACTCACACACACGCGCGCATAGACATGCGCGCACACACACGCACACACACACACACACACACACCCGCACGCACGCACGCACGCACACAAACACCTAGCTTGCAGTTCATATAGCGTTCAACATAGACGTCATCTCAACCGGCTGCAAGGACAACGTGATACGCGCATGTAAATACACGTCTTACAGCAATCACACCCACGACCGCGCGCGTAGTACAAAATTGCCGTCTGCCCAGAGTATTACGTTGCCTCGAACGAAAGCCTTACGTTGTTTCGAAATACGTATCGTTGTTGACGCGCGCTGCTGCTGCTACTGCCGGTGGTGGTGGTGCTGATTCTGCTACTACTGCTGCTGCTCCTGCTGCTGTTGTTGCTGTTGTTGTTGTTGTTGTTGTTGTTGTTGTTGTTGTTGTTGTTGTTTTTATTGTTGTTACTGCTATTGATGATAACAAGAGCAGATAATACCTAGAGTGTACAACGGAAAAACGGGAAAATAGTGCTATTTCACGACTACATTATTCTACTTTGCCTGCGAGTCTAGAATAATTTCATGGTATTGCATTAAGCAGAATTCATGATCAACGCTCACCCCTTCTTACGGCATCCCTCACGCCTCAAACTTATGTCCTCTCTATCTCATCCCCTCTACGTCTCACCCCTCAATCATCGCCTTCACGCTCTACCCCTCACTCATCCCTCTCAATTGGCTTCTACGCTCACCCTCTACGCTCACCCCTTCACTCTCCCTCACTCATCCCCTTCACTCATCTCACGCTTCACCTTCACTCATCCCCTCACGTTCTTCACCCCTCACTCATCCCCTTCTCACGCTCTACTTCTTCACGCATCCTCACGCCTCACCCCTCACTCATCCCCCTCATCCCTCACCCCTCTACTCATCCCTCACTCATCCCTCTATCGTCACCCCTCACTCATCCTCACGCATCACCCCTCACTCATCTCCCTCACTCCCACCCCATCAACTCATCCCCTCACGCCCCTCACCCTCTCACTCATCCCATCACGCTCACCCCTCACTTCATCCCTCACGCCCACCCTCACTTCATCCCTCACGCTCTCCCTCACTCATCCCCTCACGCTCACCCCTCATCCTCATCCCCTCACGCCCACCCCTCATCTCATCCCCTCTTACGCTCACCCCTCACTCATCCCCTCTTACGCCACCCTCACTCATTCCCTCACGCTCACCCTCACTCATCCCTCACGCCCTCACACTCATCCTCCACGCCTCACTCCCTCACTCATCCCCTCAACTGCTATCCCCATCTACCTCTCACCCTTCACTCATCCTCACGCTCACCTCCATTCATCCCCTCACGCCCACCCCGCTATCATCCCCTCACGCTCATCCCCTCACTCATCCTCGACGCTCACCCTCACTCATTTTCCCCTTCACGCCCACCCCTCACTCATCCCTCTACGCTCTAACCCTCACTCATCCCTCACGCACCCCTCATCATCCCCTCGACGCTCACCCCTCACTCATCCCTCACTCATCCCTCTCTACGCTACCCCTCACTCTATCCCCTCATCACCACCCCTCACGTCATCCCTCTCACGCTCACTCCCTCACTCATCCCCTCACGCCCTACCCCTCATCTCATCTCCTCACGCTCACCCTTCTCTACTCATCCCCCTCACCGCTCACCCCTCACTCATTCCCTCTACGCTCTACCCTCTCACTCATCCCCTCACTCATCCCCTCTCAACGCTCCACTCTTCGCTTCTCACCCCTCACTCATCCCTTCACTCATCCCCTCACGCTCATCCCCTCACTCATCCGCCTCCACTCTATCCCTCACGCCTGATCCTCTGCACTCATCCCCTCACTCATCCCCTCACTCATCCTTCTCACTCATCCCCTCACGCTCACCCCCTCACTGGGCATCCCCTCACCGCCTCACCCCTCACTCATCCCCTCTACCACCCACCCCTCATCATCCCCTCACCGCTCCACCCTCACTCATTATTCCCCTTCACGCCCACCCCTCTTGACTGCTCCCTCTACGCCCACCCCTCACTTCCATCCCCTCACGCTCACCCTTCACTCATCCCTCACTCTCCCCTCTACGCTCTATCCCTCACTCATCCTCCTTCACTCATCCTTCTCATCGTCTCACCCCCTCACTCATCCCTCACAGTCTCCACCCCTCACTTCATCCCCTCACGCCTCACCCTCTCTCACTCATCCCTCACTGCCCACCCCTCACTCATCCCCTCACCTCACCCTCACTCATCCCATCAACGCCTCACCCCTCACTCATCCCCTCCACGCTCACCTCTCACTCATCCCCTCACGTCCCACCTCCTTTCACTCATCCACCTTCACGCTCACCCCCCACTCTCCTCCTCACGCTCACCCCTCCACTTCATCCCTCACTTCATCCCTCACGCTCACCCCTCAACTCATCACCTCACTCATTTCCCTCACGTACCCCATCACTTATCCTCACTTCATCCCTCACCCACCCCTCATCATCCATCACGCCCACCCTCACTCATCCGCTCACACCACCCCTCACTCATCCCTCACTCTCCCTCTCACGGCTTCAACCCCTCACTCATCCCTCACGCTCATCCCTTGCACTCATCCCCTCACACTCATCGCTCACTCATCCCTCACTCATCCTCTCACTCATCCCTCTTTACGCCTCACCCCTCATCTCATCCCCTCACGCTCACCCTCTCACTCATCCCCTCACACTCATCCCTCACTCATCTCCCTCTACTCTATCCCTCTTACTCATCCCTTCTACGACTCACCCTCACTCAGCACCCTCACGTCTCTTCCCTCACTCATCCCCTCTACTCATCTCCCTCACTCATCCCTCACTCTATCCCTTCACGCTCACCCCTCACTCATCCCCTCACGCTCTTCTCCTCACTCATCTCCCCTCATACCCTCACTCATCCCTCACTCTATCCCCTCACGCTCTACCCCTCACTCATCCCCTCTTACGCTCATCCCTCACTCATCCCCTCACTCATCCCTCACGCTCACCCCTCCTCTCATACCCTCACACTCCACCCTCACCATCCCCTCACGCTCACTCACTCATCCCTGCACGCCCACCCCTCACTCATCTCCTCACGCCCACCCTCACTCATCCCCTCACGTTCTTCACTCCTCACTCATCCCCTCTCTACGCTCACCCCTCACCTCATCGCTCACGCCTCTCACCTCACTCATCCCCTCTCTACGCTTCATCCCTCACTCATCCCCTCATCGCTCACCTCTCACTCATCCCTCGACTGCTTCACCCCTCACTCATCCCCTCTACGCTCATCCTCCTCAACGCTCATCCCTCACTCACCCTCACTCATCCCTCACCGCTCAACCCTCACTCATCCCCCACGCCTCAATCCCTCACGTTGTCATCCCTCACGCTCATCCCTCACTCACCCCTCACTCATCCCTCAACTCATACCCCTCATCATCCTCTACGTCGATTCCTCACGCATCCCCTCACTCACCCTCACTCCATCCCTCCGCCCACCCTCACTCACCCCACTCACCCTCACTCATCCTCACACCACCCCTCACTCATCCCGCTCACTCATCTCCCTTCACGCTCATCCCTCACTCATCCCTCACGCTCATCCCTCAATCATCCCCTGCACTGCTCATCCTCTCACTCATCCCTCACTCATCCCCCTCACTCATTCCCTCACGCTTCACCCTCACTCATCCCCTCACCTCACCCTCACTCATCCCCTTCACCGCTCTCACCCCTCACTTCATTCGTCCCTCACGCCTCTTCATCCTCACTCAGCCCCTCAGCTCATCCCCTCACTCATCCCCTCTCGCTCATCCTTCACTCATCCCTCACTCATCCTCTACTCATCCCCTCACGCTCACCCCTCACTCATCCCCTCTCGCTCACCCCCTCATCTCATTCCCATCACTATTCCCTCACTCATCCCTCACGCGCATCCCTCACTCATCCTCACTCTTTCCTCATCATACCCCTCACGCTCACCCTCTCATTTCATTCCCCTCACGCTTCACCCCTCACACCCCTCATCTTCATCCCTCACGCCCACCCTCACTCATCCCCTCACGCTCCACCCTTCACTATCCCTCACTCATCCCTCACGCCACCCTCACTCATCCCCTCACGCTCATCCCTCCATCGTCTCATCCCTCACGCTATTCCCCTCTCTCATTCCCTCACTACATTCCCTCACGTCACCCCTCACTCATCCCCTCACTCATCCCTCACTCAGCCCCTTCATCTCATCCCCTCACGCTCTACCCCCACTCATCACCCTCACTCATCCCCTCACTCATCCCCTCAACTCATCTCCCTCACGTCACCCCTCACTCATCCCCTCACGCTCACCCCTCACTTATCCCCCACGCTCATCCCCTCACTTCATCCTCTCACGCTCTCACCCCTCAACTCATTCCCCTCACTCCCACCCCTCACTCATCCCTCCGCCCCACCCCTCACATCATCCCCTCACGCTCACCTCACTCATTCCCCTCACGCTCACCCCTCACTCATCCCTCAACCGCTCACCCCTCACTCATCCCTCACGCTCACCCCTCACTCCATTCCCCTCCAGCTCACCCTCACATCATCCCCTCACGCTCACCCCTCACTCACCCCTCACTCATCCCCTCACGCTCACCCCTCACTCATCCCTCACGCTCACCCCCTTCACTCACCCCACTCATCCCCTCAGCGCCCCACCTCACTCATCCCTCACGCCCACCCCTGCACGCCTCAATCCCTCACTCATCCCCTCACTCTCACCCTCACTCCATCCCCTCACGCTCTTCCCTCACCTCGATCCCCCCTCACGACTCATCCCTCACTCATCCTCACGCATCACCTCCTCACCTCACTCAATCCCCTCACGACGCCACCCCTCACTATCCCTCACGCCACCCCTCACTCATCCCTCACGCTC